TCATGCAGAGCTGCTTACAGCATGAAAAAAAAAAGGTGACATACAAGAAAATCTGAAGTCTTTACATGGCCGTGGGGAGGGGAGGTGAAGCGGAGACGATGAGGGACAGGGACCCACGACTGAGAAGCCTAGGGCACCTGGCAGGAATTTTTGAGGCACACGTGTCAGTTCTGCAACTCAACAGAGTGGGAGGTTTCTTTCCCGCACAGCTTCTCAGCATCCTGTGTGACGCTCTTGGAGGACACCAGGCAGGCGGTTCTGCTCCAGTCTAGAATGGGATCAGTGACTACATCAGGGATCATTAGGCTTTTCTTCTTTTTTTGAGACGGAGTTTCACTTTTGCTGCCCAGCCTGGAGTGCAATGGCATGATCTCGGCTCACCGCAACCTCCAACTTCTGGGTTCAAGCAATTCTCCTGCCTCAGCCTCCTGAGTAGCTGGGATTACAAGCAGCCGCCACCATGCCCAGCTAATTCTGTATTTTTACTAGAGACGGGGTTTCTCCATGTTGATCAGGCTAGTCTGGAACTCCCAACCTCAGGTGATCCGCCCGCCAAAGTTCTGGGATTACAGGGGTGAGCCACCATGCCCGGCCTCATGAGCTTTTTCTTTTTTTTAGCTGTTTTGCTATACATTTCCTAAGGTTTTTCTTTGTTTGAGACACAGTCTCACTCTGTTGCCCAGGCTAGAGTGTAGTGGTATGATCATGGCTCACTGCAGCCTTGACCTCCTGGGCTCAAGCAATCCTCCCTCTTCAGCCTCCCTAATAGCTGGGACTCCAGGTGTGTGCCATCACACCCAGCTAATTTCTTAGTTTTTTAAAGAGATGGGGTCTTGCTATGTTGCTCAGGCTGATGCTAAGGGCTCTTTTTCCCCCACACTGACTAACAAAAGGAATCACGGCCAACATGATCTGAGTGTGTGCCAGGTCCCGCACCCCTCGGCTGACATGAATTCTCCTGGAATCCTTTCGGTGCACCTTGAGTTAATTGTCAAGATTCCTGTCTGTGAGGCGGAAACTGAGCCTCAAGAAGGGTGATCGCCTAACCAGGCCCCACAGCTCAGAGGTGGCAGGGCTGAGATGTCAGCAAGTCTGTGCTCTTACAGGCTATTTGACACTACCCAGCCCCACCTTCACATTTTATTAGCTAATCCCCGCTCCTAATTTTTCTCTATTTTAAACAAATCTGTCTGAGCATCTGTATATAATCCCATTCAGGGCCAATTACAAAAGTGTGTGCTTGGCCAGGTGTGGTGGCTCAGACCTGTAATCCCAGCACTTTGCGAGGCTGAGGAAGGCAGATCACAAGATAAGGAGTTTGAGACCAGCCTGGCCAGCACAGTGAAACCCCGTCTCTACTAAAAATACAAAAATTAGTCAGGCATGGTAGTGCACGCCTATAGTCCCAGCTACTCGGGTGGCTGAGGCAGAACAGCTTGAACCTGGGAGGCGGAGTGGTGAGTGGAGATCATACCACTGCAGTCCAGCCTGGGCAACAGAGTGAGACTCCATCTCAAAAAAAAACAAACAAACAAACAAAAAAAAACAGGTGTGCACTTATGGGCTGGGCACCAATATATTACGCTTTTTCGTTACTTTTTTCTTTTCGTTCTTCTGTGTTGTTTGAATTACTCAATTTTGCAAAATAAATACATACTATTTTTTTTTTTTTGAGACGGAGTTTCACTCATGTTACCCAGGCTGGAGTGCAATGGCGCGATCTCGACTCACCGCAACCTCTGCCTCCTGGGTTCAGGCAATGCTCCTGCCTCAGCCTCCTGAGGAGCTGGGATTACAGGCACGCGCCACCATGCCCAGCTAATTTTTTGTATTTTTAGTAGAGATGGGGTTTCACCATGTTGACCAGGATGGTCTCGATCTCTTGACCTCGTGATCCACCCGCCTCGGCCTCCCAAAGTGCTGGGATTATAGGCTTGAGCCACCGCGCCCGGCCTACATACTATTTTTAAGTTAAGTGAAACCAGTAATAAGATTTTGTAGAAGAGATGAGTAGCTGCTCCTCAAAACCACTCTCCTGTTCCTCCTCAGTAACAGAAGCCCTGCTTTCCAGCAGGGTGCTCACTTTCCCAGATTAAAGACCACATTTCCCAGCCTCCCGTGCAGCTGGCCATAGCCACGTGAAGACGTTCTAGCAAAGGGGATAATTGTTTTATTATTTTTTTTTTTTTTTGAGACAGACAGAGTCTCGCTCTGTTGCCCAGGCTGGAGGGCAGTGGCACGATCTCAGCTCACTGCAACCTCCACCTCCCGGGTTCAAGTGATTCTCCTGCCTCAGCCTCCTGAGTAGCTGAGATTACAGGCACCTGCCACCACGCCCGCTTAATTTTTGTATTTTTAGTAGAGATGGGGTTTCACCATGTTAGCCAGGATGGTCTCAATCTCTTGACCTCATGATCCACTTGCCTTGTCTTTCCAAAGTGCTGGGATTATAGGTGTGAGCCACCACGCCCAGCGAGATAATTGTTTTAAACATCTCTCCTGTGCAATTCCTTCCGTCTGATAAGTAGGGGAGCTGATTGCCTAACTGCATGGTCTCTTATTTTGCTAAAATACATCTCTAAAAACCAAGTAATAAATAAAAGGAATGTCTATTTTGCAGAGAAATAAACAAAGGCTTAGAGCAGAGAAGGTGACTGTCACCAGGTCTAGGTAGGCAAGGATAGAACCCAGTGCCAAGCATATTCCTCACTACCACTCAGCGTCTCCCCAGGGCCTCAGACAGAAGTTGGGCTTTGAAAAAGCAGGCCCTGGGGGCCCACTGCCCAGGAATGGCATGCAAACAGACAGGTGAAAGGGCCACCACCAGGCAGTCGCAGAAGAACAACTGCTGTCTGATTCTACAAACAGGAGCTAAGTAGAGTAGTAAGAAGTCAGGGAGACAAGTGGAAAGGAGGCTGCCAGGTGGTGCGCGGCGGAAGAAATGGGGAGCTGGTGTCTGATGAGTGTGGAATTTCAGTTTGGGAAGAGGAAGTTCTCGGAATGGATAATGGTGATCAGGGCACAGTGTAGATGTACTCTGCCACAGGACGATATACTTAAAAATGGCTAAAATAAGCCGAGCGCGGTGGCTCATGCCTGTAATCTCAACACTTTGGGAGGCTGAGGCGGGTAGATCACCTGAAGTCAGGACTTCGAGACCAGCCTGGGCAACATGGTGAAACCCCATCTCTACTAAAAATACAAAAATGAGTCGGGTATGGTGGTGGGCACCTGTAATGCCAGCTACTCAGGAGGCTGAGCAGGAGAATTGCTTAACCCAGGAGGCAGAGGCTGTAGTGAGCTGAGATTGTGCCACTGCACACCAGCCTGGGTGACAGAGAGAGTGAGTCTCAAAAACAAAACAAAACAAAAAGGTTAAAATGTAAACATGGGTAAAAATGGTAAATTTGATGTTATGTGCAGATGTGGGCTGAACCAGTCTCCCAAAATTCATGTGTTGAAGTCTTTTTTTTTTTTTTTTTTTTTTTTTGAAAAAAGGTTCCCTCTTTTTCCAGGTGCCAGGCTGGAGTGCAGTGGCGTGATTTCGGCTCACTGCAACCTCCGCCTCCCAGGTCCAGGCAATTCTCTTGCCTCAGCCTCCTGAGTAGCTGGGACTACAGGCGCACACCACCAGGCCCAGCTAATTTTTGTATTTTAGTGGGACTGGGTTTCACTATGTTAGCCAGGATGGTCTCGATCTCTTGACCTCATGATCCACCCACCTCAGCCTCCCAAAGTGCTGGGATTACAGGCGTGAGCCACCGCGCCCGGCCTATGTGTTGAAGTCTTAACCTTCAGCACCACTGAAACTGAATTTAGAGAGAGGGTCTCTCCAACTTTTTTTTTTGCGATAGGGTCTTGCTCTGTTGCCCAGACTGGAGTGCAGTGGTGTGACCTTGGCTCACTGCAGCTTCAACTTCTGAGGCTCTAGTTAGTGATCCTCCCGCCTCAGCCTCCTGAGTAGCTGAGACTACAAGTATGCGCCCCCATACCTGGCTAATTTTTTTTTTTTAGATGGAGTCTTGATCTGCTGTCAGGCTGGAGTGCAGTGGCGTGATCTTGGCTCATTGCAACCTCCACCTCCAGGGTTCAAGCGATTCAAGCGATTCTCCTGCCTCAGCCTCCTGAGTAGCTGGGACTATAGGCGCATGCCACCATGCCCAGCTAATTTTTGTATTTTTAGTAGAGACGGGGTTTCACCATGTTGGCCAGGATGGTCTTGATCTCTGGACCTTGTGATCCGCCTGCCTAGACCTTCCAAAGTGCTGGGATTACAGGCATGAGCCACTGTGCCCGGCCAGATTTTTTTATTTTAGTAGAGACTGGGTCTCATATGTTGCCTAGGCTGGTCTCAAACTCCTGGGCTCAAGCGATCCTCCCGACGTGAACTCCCAAGTGCTGGGGTTATGGGTGTGAGTCATCATGCCTAGCCCAGATAGGGTCTTTAAAACACTAAGGTCCAGTGGGGTCATTATGGTGGGCCCTAATCCAGTATGACTAGTGTCCCCATAAGAGAAGCTTAGGACTCAGACACATACAGAGGAAAGACCACAGGAAGACGCAGGGAGAAGATGGTCTTATGCAAGCCAAGGAGAGAAGCCACAGGAGAAACCACCCCTGCCCACACCTAGATCCTGGACTTCCAGTACCCAGAACTGCAAGAAAATTCATTTCTGTATTTTTGTTGTTTAAGCTACTTGGTCTGTATTACTTGTTACAAAGGCCCTAGCAAGCCACGTCAGTATTTTTTGTTTTTATTTTTTTACAAATCAGGCAGCCCCTACAAACCAGAATAGGCTCAGGGAAACTGCCTATTTCAGTATATTTTCCCAGGGAAAAAAAAAAGAAAAAAGGTTTAGAAAACATTCCATCATTAAAAAAAAAAAACTCTACCAATACAGTAATGATTGCCATTCTCAGTTGTCAGCTGATTTTTCCTTTCTTCCTCATGCTTTCATTTGAATGTTTTCAGTGAATGAACCCAAGTCCCGTCTGCTCACCTGAACAGCACACCTTTGATGACCTGCCAGGCATTGGGTGCTGGCTGGGGCGGTGCGTTCTGAGGCTGGGTCTCCGCCGGCGCGTCTCTCCCGATGCTGCCATTGCTGGTCACCTGTGCGGGACAGAGACCACAGTAAGGAGGGAGAACAGACACAGACGCTGTCTTAGACACCATCACACACGAAGCTGGGCACATGCTGTGCAAAGGGTGGGTTTTTATCAATAACTGGAGAATGAATCAGGGAAAGCACCTGGGAAGGTGGTGTCCTCTTCTTTTAGGAGGAAAACACTCCCTGAGTGCCTCCTCTGTGCTGGGGACCTACTGGTAACCCAAACCCAGACAGTCCTTTACTGTCCTCCTGGAGTTCGACAGCCTGGCAGGGGAGACAGACTCATCTCTAGACAGTGACTGTCCAGAGTGCGGCTGGAATGCAGGAGCCTCAAGAGGCACCTGGGGTCCAGCAGAGGGGTCGGGGTGACTTCCTGGAGGAGTGAGTATCGCAGCTGAGACCCAAAACATAATAAGTTGGTGGCGCAAAGGAAGAAGTTAGAGAAGCAGCAGGTGCAGAAACAGAAGATGAGAGATACAGTCTGATTCTGATGACTGCTGTTCCCTGGGGCTGGAGCCAGGATGCAAGGAGGTGGCTATCAGGGACAACAACAGAAGGAGTCCAGTGGCAGGTGCCAGGTTCTTCAAGGCTGGGGCTTAGCTGAAGGGGCCTTCCCTGGGCAAACCATTCCTGAGATCCCCTCTGTGCCCAGCCCTCCCCTCCAAGGGCCCCTGGTCCAGCAGGTGAGACAGACAGAAAAATACAACCAGATTATCATCTGTTACCATGAGCCACGGCCACAGGACGTGTATGTGACGGCACACAGCACACTAGCCCTGAGGCCACAATTATGACCAGCTCCATCTGGCTGCTGAGCAAAGCGAGGCCCAGAGAGATGAAGCCACTTGTCTGGTCACTCAGGAAGGATGAACGCAGAGGCAGAATGACAGAAGAGAAGTGGGCGAGGGAGTCAGGCAGGGCTTCCCAGAGGAGGGCTCTTCACTCAGACACAGAAGCTCACAATCAGAGGCTCTCCAAATGTCAGGTTGGGAAGGGGATGTTCTGCTCAACCTTCGTGCACCCTGCTGGTTCCCCAGTGCTGTTCTCATTCACCCCTCCTCCCAAAGTCCCCTCAGCCATCAGCCTTCAAGAGGCAGAAGCAGGGCTGTCATGGTCACAGTTAGCTTGGGAACACCAGCGGCACAGAGCAGGGGTGTGATAAACACCCGTGAAGCCACTGCTGTCTAAAGGGCTCGCCCTGGACACTCAGGTCACCCAAACCCAGGTCCCACTGAGGCTCCAGGACCCAGCCTTCCCCTCCACAGCCCCCAGCCCATGCCTCTGCAATGTTTTTGCTGTTCACCTCACTTACCAGATAGCAAATGCCCCAGGAGCATGGGGGGCCACATTTGTTAAATGTTTCACTCGTCACCTCCTGTCCCCTTCCCCAGCAAGAGCTCTTTCCTGTAAAGAGCCCAAAGCACAGGACAGCACTATAGGGGCTCCAGGTTCAAACGGACCTGAGCTATAGTCCTAGTCCCACCATTCTTAGCTGTGATACCTTGAGCACATCACTTCACCCCTCTGACCTGTGGACCAGGTTGTGAAAATACTGGCACATTTTAGACAGAAATTTGGGCCCTGTTTGCCCAGAGCTGGGGATCCAGAGGGAAACACATCAGAACAGTAAACAAGGTAATTAAAAATCGTATATGGAAGACAAGGAGATGGAAGTGACAGCAACTGAGTTGGGGACAGGGACCCACTTTGGAGTGCGTGGTCAGAGAGGTCTCCCTAAGGAGCTCCCTTTGATGTCCGGGTTGTCTGGGTGAGACCCTCGAGCTGAGACAGAGGCAGCCATATTCTAGTGAGGAGATGTATGGGGCGGGGGCCCCCTACTCAAGGCCAGCCTGGCTCCTGGGAGACTTATGGGTCCGAGTAAGGCCTTCAACGGGTCTGAGCTGATTTGGGGTCAGGAATGGATGCTTGGCGCCAGGTAAGGATTTGAAGCCACATCTGGCTGACTCCCAGGTCTCTTCTCTTACCTGTTAATGACGGGCAATCTGGCTGGGAACCTTCCCACGGAAAGGCAAGTTAAAACCACAATGAGATGTCACTTCACACACATTAGGATGACTAGCATCAGAGAGACGGACAATCACAAGTGCTGTGGATGCGGAGAAACGGGAACCCTCGTACACTGCTATGGGGAAGGTAAAAGTGCAGCCACTTCGGAAAATGTAGCAGTTACTTAACGAGTCATATGTGCACCTACTACACAATCCAACAAACCCAACCTGGATGGCTGCCCAGGAGGCAGAAAACATGCAGCAGGCCGGGTGCAGTGGCTCACACCTGTAATCCCGGCACTCCTGGAGGTCAAGACAGGAAGATCACTTGAGCCCAGGAGAGTTCAAGACCAGCCTGAGCAACAGAGCAAGACCTCATCTCTATAAAAAAAAATGTAAAAATTAGCCAGGTATGGTGGTACATGCCTGTGGTCCCAGCTACTCAGGAGGCTGAGGTGGGAGGACTGACTGAGACTTGGAGGATGAGGCTGCAGTGAGCCAGGATCGCCCCACTGCACTCCAGCCTGGGTGACAGAGGTGACTCTGTCAAAAAAAAAAAAAACAGCCGGGCACGGTGGCTCAAGCCTGTAATCCCAGCACTTTGGGAGGCCGAGGCGGGTGGATCACGAGGTCAAGAGATCGAGACCATCCTGGTCAACATGGTGAAACCCCGTCTCTACTAAAACTACGAAAAATTAGCTGGGCATGGTGGCACGTGGCTGTAATCCCAGCTACTCGGGAGGCCGAGGCAGGAGAATTGCCTGAACCCAGGAGGCGGAGGCTGCGGTGAGCCGAGATCGCGCCATTGCACTCCAGCCTGGGTAACAAGAGCGAAACTCCGTCTCAAAAAAAAAAAAAAAAAAAAGAAACAAAACACAGCCACACAAAAGCTTGTATGTGAATGTTCATAGCAACATTCCTGCTAATAGTGAAAAGCTACAAACAACCTAAATATCCTTTGAGGAGTGAAAGAATAAACTGTACCATGTCCATGGACTTCTACTCAGCAGTGAAAAGGAACAACTGGGAGCATGTACTTTAGACTTCCCCAAAGGCCGAATTTCCCTGATCCTAGGTTGTAAAAAATAAAATAAAAAGGAACAACCGCAGACCTATGCAACATTGTAAACCTCAAACCCATTTTGAGTCTCTGCTGCCTAGGGCTGGGAGCAGCAGAGACGGCAAAAGGGAACTTTTTGAGGGGACAGAAGCTTTCTCAGACCAGACCTTGGTGATGGCTGCACCACACAACTGCATAAATGGACCAGGAGCCACTAAACTCTATCCTGACAACAGGTGAATATTACAGCATCTAAATTATACTCCAATAAAGAGTCATTCTCAGCCAAGTGTGGTGGCTTATGCTGGTAATCCTAGCACTGTGGGAGGCCCGGGCGGGCTGATCACTTTAGGTCTGGAGTTCAAAACCTGTCCATATTAAAAATACAAAAATTAGCCAGAAATCACTTGAACCCAGGAAGCAGAGGTTGCAGTGAGCCAAGATCACACCACTGCACTCCAGCCTGAGTGACAGAGCAAAACTCCGTTTCAAAAAAAAAAAAAAAGTCAGGCCGGACGTGGTGGCTCACGCCTGTAATCCAAGCACTTTGGAGGCCAAGGCGGGCAGATCACCTGAGGTCGGGAGTTCAAGACCAGCCTGACCAACATGGTGAAACCCCGTCTTTTAAAAAAAAAAAAACAAAAAAAAAGTCACTCTCCTCAACTCCTATTTCCCTCAGAGTATAGGCCAAGTGCTCTCCATGGCCTCCAAAGCTTGGCATAATCTGCATCTGACCCCACCCACCTCTCTCCCCTCACTCATGGGCTCCAGCCTCCTCGCCATCCCTTCATCACACCAGGCACCTCCCACCTCAAGGCCTTCGTACTCGCTAATCCTTTGCCTGAAACGCTTTTCCTTGTGTATCTTTGGGACTCCTTCTCTCACTGCCTTCAGGTCTTTGTTCACGCGTCACCTCCTCAGAGAGGCCTTCCTAGACTACCCTATTTAATTGCAACTTTTCTGTCCCCATCCCAGTTTTATTTCTGTCCATGGCACACACAGCCATCTGAACTGCTGTTTTTCTTATTTATCTTGTTCACTGTGTATCCCCATCTGCGCTTCCCCTAAATCCAGCTCTAACTAGAACATAAGGGCAAGGGCCTTCAAGAGGGCAGCACCTATTTTGTTCACAGCTGTATCCCCAGCATCAGCACAAGGCCTAGCATGTAGCTGACTCAATTTGCATTTGCTGAAGGAATGAATGCAAAACTGTGGGTTCTGTGTCTGAGTTTCTGGCCATAGGAGCAGGCTGGCTAAGGCAGGAGACAGGGCCGAGGGTCTGTCCACTGCGCACTAGGCTCCAGCCGTGGGAGGAGCAGTGGCTGTGGACACATCAGTGACTAAGACACAGTTCCTGCTCTTGGATCTGCTCGTCCACGGGCGCAAGCAATCCCCAGCAATATCTGCTAAGGGGCCCAGGAAGTAGCTGAGACCACCAGGGCTAGGCAAGAGCAGGAGGAAGCTAGGTTTTGCCACATGTCTTCACTGGATCCACCGTGGGCATCAGGAATTCCACCTCAGCCCAGCCTCTGTTTCAAGATCCGCTCATTCCACAAACACTGAGCACCTCCCCTGTGTCCGGCCGTGGTGAGCAGCGCTAAGGAAGCAGTGGTGACCACGACAGTCCTGGCTCTGCCCTCCTGGGGTTCCCAGTCCAGTGGAGGAGCCCAGTCCCCAGACAGAGAAGCCCAGTGGAGGCAGGGCTGGGACAGGGGAGCCCAGAGAGTCAAAGAGGGCTTTCTGCAGGAGGGGACATCTGAGATCCGTAGGACACACATCAACCAGCTAACAAGGGGAGAGACCTGTGCATTTACTATGAGCAAAGGGACTGAGAGGCAATTAAAGAGGTTTAGAAATAAAATAGGTTCAGAGCAGTGGATCTTCCCTAGGGCAGTAGTTCTCACAAGGAAGCCTTTGCCCCCCCTGCTCCTGGAACATCTGTCAATGTCTGCAGACATTTTTGGTTGTCACAACTGGGAGGGGTGTCCATGCTACTGACATCTGGCATGTAGAGGCCAGGGATGCTGCTAAACATCCTAAAATGCACAGGGCAGCCCCCAAAACAAAGCATTATCCAATTCAAAATGTCAGTAGTCCCGAGCTCCAGAAATCCTAGTCTAGTCTGAAGAAAAGAGTCGGATCATGCAAGGTTGAGATTTATTAAAGAATTTGTACTTTACCCTAAAGGCAAAGGGGTAAGTCTTGATTGTTTTTAAGCAGAGTTGGTACAAGAGAATGACTTGATCCTTCTCTGGGATCCCCCAGTCCCTGACACAGACTTTTGTCACCAACCTAATGATTCAGGATTATAACTCTTTGTTTACATGTCAGTCTCCACTCCCCTCCACTCTCGGAGAGCAGGGACATGGCTCGCCCTCCTGTCCAACCTCTGCATTTGACACGGGAGAAATAAAGGCCTAAAGAGAGAAAGGAACTCACCCAAGGTCATACAGAGAGTCAGCTTCATTCTCCCCTCTCAACCCGCACTCCTCTCCCCTGAGCTGCCTCCCACATGTCAGTGACATCCCAGTGGGTGGGTCGACAGCACCTTGATGTCTCCATCTATTTCCCAAATGCCTGAACGGTAGCTGCCTGAAATGGTATGTTCTGCAGTGTGTTTAATTAAGGCAGCAGTGGGTCAGAAGTCATCCGCACCTGGACTAATTAACCCACAGGACTAGTTTACGTTAAAAGCACATCATACCAGTCCCTGTGTCAGCAATATCTTGTATGAAGTTACAAACCTAACCGGGATGACCTTCTGGAAGCGCCTTAGTCTCACTGTTCCTTGGATTCCCGTCTGTAAAATGGGTCTGTCGGCCGTGCTGATAATCCTGACTTCCCCAGAGCTAGAAAACTCCCAATTAATGACTGCGCACACCTCAAGCACTACAACGAGACTCTGAACGCCAGACGACTGTAGAACCGGCCTTGGAGGCTGGAACCCCGGAGTCGAGAACCCAGCGCGCCAAGATACAAGCCTGCATTCCTCCGAGGCACTGTCTCCCCGGCTCGAGCGACGAACCTGGTGGCTGCCCGGCGCGAGCGTGCAGGAGACCCGACACGCAACAGGGCCCCGTTCCCGGCACCGTCCGGCCTCTCGGGCTGTCCGGCCCCGCCTGGGCCGGGTATTCAAGGTCCCTCTGGGAAAGGAGCCCCCAGTGCACGGGATTCTGCGACAAAGAGTAGGACACGCCCTGTGGGAGGCCCCCCGGCTGGGGAAGAATACCCTCAGTCCCCTCTCGGCCTCCGTACCTGACCGGAGCCGCCTCCCCCGGCCGCCACCACGGCGCTGCGGGCCCCGTCCGCCTCCTGCGCCGCCGCCATCTTCCCGCTCCGGGTCCCCGCCCCCGCCACCAGCCCGGCCCCGTCCCCGACGGCGCAGCGCAATCGCGCGAGATTTCACGCTTTCCTAGCCCCGCCGGGCCACCGTATCCTGCACGAGCGCCTTAGCCACGCCTCTCGGGAGGGCCACTTCCGGTTGCGAAAGGGCCGACCAGGCCACCGTATTCCTCTTCCCTGCAGCCCATTTGTTTTCACGTAATAGAAACGCTGTATGCTCCGAAATCCAGGACTTTCTCTGCCAGCATGCGCCTCCCACAAGTTCTGTCCCTTCCGCCCCGTCGCATTAACTCGACTTTTAGAGTTTTATGAGCCTTCCGGGTCATCCTGTCCGCTTATCCCTGCAGATTCTTCGAGTCCTTTCGTTCCACGTTTCTTGAGCTTTACCGGCCACAGTACAGGCTTCAAAACACGCCTTGTGTCGTCATAGGAACTTTTCTGGGAACCGTATTGGGATTGGAAGAGCAGCCTTCTACCCAGTACCCTCGTCCTGTTACTCTTCTTCCTAACACAACTCCTGCGTCCAAGTCTCCTGAGCTCATAGTCTTTTCAGTGTATTTAGAGTTCCAATTCCAGGGGACTTACGGCCAACACACCTCCGATGAGACCCTATCAGACACCCCCAAGCTTTCAGGCAGCCCTGCTTAGCATGCGTGCGCGTTCCCTTAGTGGTCCAAACCTCGCATCCCTGAACTCGGCTTCACGGACTCTGAGAATTCCACAATTTTTCGTTAGCTGTGTGTCTTCCTACAGTTCTAATCCTGGACATGTGCTGAGAGACCCCTGGCTTGGAGAAGGTGTTACGGAGGCCCAGAGAGGACAGGATTTTCAGAGGCTGTTAACCCTTCATCCATGAACTTGGGTGGAGGTCTGGCCTGGGTTCAAACCCTTGTCATGCTACTGACCGGTTAAGAGATCCTGGACAAGTTACTTTTTTTTTTTTTTTTTTGGCAGAGCCTCGCTCTGTCGCCCAGGCTGGAGTGCAATGGCGCGATCTCGGCTCACTGCAACCTCTGCCTCCCGAGTTTAAGTAATTCTCTTGCCTCAGCCTCACAAGTAACTGGAATTACAGGAGTGCGCCGCCACGCCCCCCCCCTTTTTTTTTTTTTTTTGCATTTTTAGTAGAGACGGGGTTTCGCCATGTTGGCCAAGCTGGTGACAAGTAACATCTCTGTTTGAGCCTCAGTTTCTCCCCCTTTTTAAACTAGCGATTATAATCATAATTGTTATTCGTCTTTCCTTTTTGCCCTGTTGTGTTATTTGGGAAAACGTAGTTAGCTAGCGAATGTAAAACATGAGGTCTTGGGCCTCATGCTTAAGTGGTCAATATTCGACGTGCTGTGATTTTGAACTTTATATATATTACCTGGAGGGAGTGCAAGCTTTGTATTGGGATATTCTAAATATTTGTCATTTTATTATCTGTTTCCTCCACTTTTCTCTAGGTCTCAGCTCTTAATAATAGTATCTCTCGCTCTAGGAAGCTCTCCCTGAGCCCATTTCCCATTCTTCCTGGCCCACTCAGATCCTCCATCCTACTCCTGATCACTTTGTGTCATCTCTGTCAGGGATGGGTGTGTCTCCCCAACTGGGCAGGCTGACCTGGGACTGTTGTGGTCACTGCTGTATCTCCAGCACTGCCCTGGGGATGATTCCTGAAAGAAAGTATGAGGCTCTCAGCCGGGTGTGGTAGCTCACGCCTGTAATCCCAGCACTTCCGGAGGCTGAGGCAGGCGAATCACGAGGTCAGGAATTGGAGACCAGCCTGACCAACATGGTGAAACCTTGTCTCTACTAAAAATACAAAAATTAGCCGGGTGTAGTGGTGCGCGCCTGTAATCCCAGCTATTCGAGAGGATGAGGCAGGAGAATCTCTTGAACCCGGGAGGCGGAGGTTACAGTGAGCCGAGATCTCACCATTGCACTTTAGCCTGGGCCTCAGAGTGAGACTCCACCTCAGAAAAAAAAAAAAAAAAAAAAAAAAAGGCCAGAGCACTTTGGGAGGCCGAAGCCCGAGGTGGGTGGATCACAAGGTCAGGAGATCAAGACCATCTGGCCAACATGGTTAAACCCCGTCCCTACTAAAAATACAAAAATTAGCCGGGTGTGGTGGCGCGCTCCTGTAATCCAGCTACTCAGGAAGCTGAGCCATGAGAATCGCTTGAACCTGGGAGGCGGAGGGTGCTGTGAGCCAAGATCGCGCCACTGCACTCCAGCCTGGGCGACAGAGCAAGACTCTGTCTCAAAAAAAAAAAAAATTTAAACTAGCTCACTGCAACCTCTGTGCTCTGTGGTGGCATGCACCTGCGGTCCAGCTACGCTGAGGCTGAGGTGGGAGGGACGCCGGATCCCAGGAGTTCGAGGTGGCAGTGAGTTGTGATCACACTACTGCACTCCAGCCTGGACGACAGAGTGAGACCCTGTCTCTAAAAAAAGTAATAATCATAATATGTAAAAACTTCTGCCATTCCTACTTTAAGTCACAGGACAGACTCACTCTTCTCTCCACTAGGGGGCGCAAAATACTGATCGGGGCTGTGATTTCAGGTTCTAAGAGAGAAGGGGACTGGGGATCCAAACTTTAGGTCCTGAGGAAAAGGAATTGGGGGATCCCAGACTCTTGAGTTCTAGGGAAAGAAGAATCTAGGGGCCTGGACTCTGGGGGTCCTGAGGGGAATGGGGTTCTGAGAAAGGAAGGAGGAGTCTGGGTCGAGCACCAGGGTTGGTTGGAAGCGGAACTGGTCCGGGCAGTGCTTTAGTTTGGCTCCAGTCCGTGGGAACCAAGTGCACAGAGCAGGGATTGTTCCTACAGGATCTACCCCTCCCCACCACCCCCTGCGCTTGGCAGCCTCAGTTCTTCCCAGGCCCCGGGTACTCTGGGGCATTACCCGCAGTCCCTCCCCAGGGCGCCTGTTTTCTACTGGACTCACTGCCCAGCCTCAGGACCTGGGAAAGCTGCCCCAAGAGTGTTGAAACCCTGACTGGAAGTTAATGGAGAATACAAGCTGTGGATCCCCAGAGACCAGTTGCCCCACCCATGGGACTTGGGAAGCAGGACCACCCTGGACCCCCTCAGGATACAGGAATCTCGGCCCCCAGCCTTCTTCATTCATAGTCCCAGCACTGGCCTCCTTCAGACCACAGAGCCTCTGCTTATTTGTACCTTCTGCCTTCTGTGCTTTTTGCTTGCAATTAAGTTTTTCTTTTTTCTTGTTTTTTGAGACAGAGTCTTGCTCTGTTGCCCAGGCTGGAGTGCAGTGGTGCTATCTCGGCTCACTGCAACCTCCGCCTCTCAGGTACAAGCGATTCTCCTGCCTCAGCCTCCAGGTAACTGGGATTACAGGCATGTGTCACCACACTCAGCCCTTTTTTTGTTGTTTTTGTTTGAGTCAGGGTCTCCTCCATTGCCCAGGCTGGAGGGCAGTGCTGCCATCTCAGCTCACCGCAGCCTCGACCTCCTGGGCTCAAGCAATTCTGCTGCCTCGGTCTCCTGAGTAGCTGGGACTACAGGCAGGTGCCACCACGCCCAGCTAAAATTCCTCTCTACTAAAATTTTTATCTTTTTAGTAGAGATGGTTTTCACTGTGTTGGCCAGGATGGTCTCGGGATCTCTTGACCTCAGGATCTGCCCGCCTTGGCCTCCCACAGTTCTGGGATTGCAGGCATGAGCCACCACACCCAGCCTGTACTTTTTTTTTTTGAGACAGAGTCTCTCGCTGTGTGCCCCAGGGTGGAATGCTCTAAGGTTGGCCACACCCAAGGCTTTGAGGGCTTCAGCTTCACTCTTCTTCCTTGTCTGTATTGGTGTCTGAAATTAACTTCTCCCTTTCTTTTTGTTCCCTGAGGGCTAGGGTCTCTTCATTTGTGGCCTCAGGATAGAGTAGAGCTCCTGGCTGTAACAGTAATGTTATTACTATTACTAATAAGGAGACAACAGTTAAGAAAACATATTACAGGCTGGGCGCAGCGGCTCAAGCCTGTAATCCCAGCACTTTGGGAGGCCGAGGCAGGTGGATCACTTGAGCTCAGGAGTTCAAGATCAGCCTGGCCAATATGGTGAAACCCCGTCTCTACTAAAACCACAAAAATGCTGCCAGGCGCGGTGGCTCATGCCTGTAATCCCAGCACTTTGGGAGGCTGAGGCAGGCAGATCACCTGAGGTCGGGAGTTTGAGACTAGCCTGGCTAATATGGTGAAACCTATTTCTACTAAAAACACAAAAAATCGGCTAGGCAGGCATGGTGGCGGCTGCCTGTAGTCCCAGCTACTCAGGAGGCTGAGGCAGGAGAATCAATTGAACTTGGGAGGCGGAGGTTGCAGTGAACCGAGATGGCGCCAATGCACTACAGCCTGGAACAGAGCAGACTCTGTCTCAAAACAAAATAATAATAAAATAAAATAAAAATACAAACATAAGCCCGGCATGGTGGCACATGCCTGTAATCCTAACTACTCAGGAGGCTGAGGCAGGAGGATTGCTTGAGCCCAGGAGGCAGAGGCTGCGGTGTGCTGAGACTGCGCCATTGCACTCCAGCCTGGGCGACAGAGGGAGACTCTGCCAAAAAAAAAAAAAAAAAAAAAGGAGAGAAGAAAACATACTACAAAGCTATAATCATGAAAACCATTTGCAATGGACCCGTGGCTTTTTGAGGGGGCACATGAGGAGGGCAGGACTGTCTTTTCCTTGCCATGTCCCCAGAGCTAGGTAGGGTCTCAGTAATGCATGTGGGATGATTACATGAGGTTTGTCAATGAGCACAGGCTCTAGAGGGCTTTTTTTTTTTTTTTTTTTTTTGGGGACAGAGTCTTGCTCTTTCACCCAGGCTGGAGTGCAATGGCATGATCTCAGCTCACTGCAACCTCTGCCTCCTGGTTCAAGTGATTCTTCCATCTCAGCCTCCCAAGTAGCTGGGATTACAGGCACCCACTATCATGCCTGGCAAATTTTTGTATTTTGGTACAGATGGGGTTTCACCATGTTGGCCAGGCTAGTTTTGAACTCCTGATCTCAGATGATCTGCTCACCTTGGCGTCCCAAAGTGCTGGTATTACAGACGTGAGCCACCGCACCAGGCCTAGAGGTCTGTCTTCTTGGGGCCCAGCCAATGCAGCACTGACCTGGGCACCATTCTCCCCTCTGCCACGGGATCA